GTCGGGAATCGAACCCGGGTCCTCGGCGTGACGAGCAAACGCTTTAACCACTTGGCTACCCCACCGCCCCCAGAATTACAGTGGGTGGATGAATGAGTGGGTGAGTGAGCTGGCGAGTGAATCAGTGAGTGAGTGAGGCAATGAGCGAGGGGGCGGTTGGGTAGCTGAGTAAGCGAATGAGTGGTTTGATGAGTGAGAGCGCGCACGTCGGTTTCATCAAAGTGCTAAACGTCTGCGACCTGCACCACGCGGACACGCTGTGATATAAATTTATCATCCAAAATTGGCTCCCACAGGAGATATCGCTTGGATTAGATCAAGCGATATCTACACTGTAGATATCGCTGCAATGAAATTACATCACAATGCTTTGCAGACCATTGTGACGTCACAATCAAATGACATCACTAATGACTCCGCTACTGAAGCTGTTAGCAGTACTTTTTACACTGAAGACACTGCCAATTACTGTCAAAAAATTGAAAAAGTTGGAAGAATGATGTTGGATGATAAATAAAATCTCACGCTCTTGTCTTTTGATATCAAATATATCAACATGCGTTGATAAAAGTGGCAAAAAGCCTCGGCAAGCCTTGGAAATATTCCACTTTTATTACCCTCTTGGTGAAGATACAGGTGGTAAGATACTAAATCCGTACGTCACACGTGTGTCGTACAAGGTTGACCTTGTTTTATTCGTTTTGATTGGATAACCGTGACCTCTGTCACACCGGGACTACTTTTTCATTCATCAAAAATCGCGAGACATCATTCATTTTGCGATTACAAGGCAGAACTGAAGAAATTCATGAGAACGAGAGATATTTACAAACACTTTATTAAACCAAACAAGATAGTCACACGCATCAAATTCGGTTTGCATTCTATGTAAGGTATGCATAGAGCTCCTACAGACATATAATCGAGCTAGATCTATAAATCGATTTACAATGTACGACTGCCGATCGAGCGCGTCCCTTGAGCGTGACGCACCCGACCATTTTCGCAACTTTCAATTTGATTTAACGTAAAAGGATAAGCGTGGTGAAATGAAGTCTGTTTAAACTATCTGGACAGATATCTAGACTTACTTGGGATGATCCGGTTGTGCCATCGGTGTCCCCTTTGAAGCGTATTTTGTGGCGCTGTTTCGGGAGGTGTGGTTCATGAATGAACGAGCACGACAGCACGACGAGATCACTTAAAGTTCACAGTTCCGATACAAATCATTCGAAAACTCCGTGGAAGTGTGCTTGACTTCTGATTTTTTGGCTCCAAACATCCCAAATGTGAACAGTACCATTCCCTATCTCTAGCGTAAAACGCTGTGAGTGGATCGCGGTTGTCTTTTCTTATTCCGGTGGCGACCTTGCCCTTCGATCGTTCGAAGCTGTCACTGACATGCAAGCAGATTTGAGTTTGTTGATTTTCACGTCTTCAGTATATAGGGTGGTACAGTTAACATGAATGACAGTCTGATTTCCCTCTTCCAAAATGGTACGCACATGATATAAATTCAGCTGATAGATCAAGGAAACCGAACCATTTTGATTGCACAGACGGGACCCCGGCAGTGTGATGCGTGTGACTGTTGGTCCGATATTCAAAGCGCGGCGCTAATGTGACTCGTGAACTTTCTATGGTAGAAAGTCCACTCGTTTCGTAAATATGGTATCTAACGAGAATGAGTGTAGTATTCTCTATTTATGAACTCGTGTTGATATATTTGATATCAAAAGACACTCGGGTGAGATTCTCTATGTAATGCAGTTCAAACCAGTGTCAAACCAAATTCATTCACTCACTCACTCATCATGGACAATCGTAGGGTGTGAAAGGAGTCACGTGGGATCTGCATCTATATATTAGGAATAACTAAAGGTAGTTAATTCAAAGCGGTACCAGTGGGGTAGAATATCTGGGGTAGAATAGGTCTTCAGCAACCCATTATTGGAGAAAAAGGCGACTATACTTGTCGTTAGAGGCGACTAACGGGATTGGATGGTCAGACTCGCTGACTTCGCTGATACATGTCATCGTATCCTAATTATGTGAATCGGTACTCGTGATGTCAATCACTGGTTTGTCTGGTTCAGACTCGATTATTTACAGACCGCCGTCATATAGCTGGACTATTGCTGAGTGCGGCGTCAAACAACAAACAAACAAAACAATAATTCGAAGCGGCGTTAAACCCTACTCACTAACTACTGAATACGAAACAGACAATTTAGCTGCGTCACTACTCCAATTGCATCTACACAATATTGACGTACCAAAACCAATGTTGAGAAACAAGGCTCCGCTTCAGAACACCATCTTTGCGGTACAATTTCGATACTCTGTGTTAAAGTATGGGAGTTACGAGTGAGTGAGTATGGTTTTACGCCGCTTTTACCAATATTCCAGCAACATATCACGGCGGGGAACACCAGAAATGGGCTTCACACATTGTACCCAAGTGGGGAATCGAACCCGGGTCTTCGGCGTGATGAGCGAACGCTTTAACCACTAGGCTACCCCGCCTCCCATGACAGCTACTAAAGCCGAAGAGCTATGATCGCTTTGTGAAACAGTGCTCTGGTTGCATTACAAATAGATTTGAAATATGTGAGTGAGTACTGTTTTACGGCACTATGAGCAGTATTCCAGCCAAATCACTGTGGATAGAGGGAATCAGGGACCGAGCGAGAAAACTGAGCTTCGAAGGTTTTACTGTGGCATCCCAAAACGGGGACTGTTTTATTCGACTTATGAACCGCCGAAACAACATTAGCTTAATATTAGACTGAAAAAAGAAGTTAAAGAAACGCTCGTAAAATATATCTGTCTTGGAAATATTCGCTTAACATGAAACCTTCTACTGAGTGAGGGAATGAGTTATGATTTTACATCGCCCTTCTGCTGAGGCGAGGAGGTAAAATGGGGTTTAACGTCGCGTCCAAGATTATTGCACTTATATAGCGACGTGTGTGTGTGGCTGCTTGTATGAGATACCATGTCGCAGTTCAACATGAATACCCCACTCAGACATAGTATACTGACTCCTGAGCCGACCAGTCCTTGGTTTATCACCTTAGTGGACAGCGCCAGACAGGGTAACAACAAGTACCATCTTTTAACGACTTATGGTCGCGCTACCAGTAGACCACGAAGGTGGTCAGCTGCCTGTGGCTGGAGAAGATAACGTGCACCACGATTTCATGGCGGCATTGCAAGAAAACGACGGATCGACATTCTCAATCATTCACGAAAAATAGAAACATTTCTCGCAGAAGAAGGTGAGGTGAGGTGATTTGGGTTTAACGTCGCGTCCAAGATTATTGCACTTATATAGCGACGTGCATGCACGTGTGTGTGTGTGGCTGCTTGTACTAGTCTGGACTGATGCCGATTTATAGTGCTAGCCCACTGAGATACCATGCCGCAGTTTATCATGAATACCCTACTCAGACACAGTATACTGACTCCGAGCCGACCAGTCCTTGTTTTAGCCCCTTAATGCCGAGCACCAGACAGGGTAAGAACAAGTACCATCTTTTAACGTCTTTTGGTATGACGCGGCCGGGGATCGAAAGTCGACAACCTTTGTTTACAGGCAGTGTTAGTTTCAATGTTGCTCGACATTTGCATAATTTGTGAAGTTAAACAGATGCAGAATGAGATCGATGACTTGCATGGTAGTGTCACTGGAATTCCTGGTCTACCCATCACTTGATTGCCTGGTTTGTCTACAGGCCGCCGTAGGGTGTCAGGAGTACTGCTTTGCGGCGTCAGGCAACAAATACTTATTTCTTTATGCAAGTTGTGTGAATGGCGTGTGCTATCGGTAGGGCAGGACATGATTACCATTTTCGAGGACACCTGGCGTCCTCACTGATTTGTCTATTCACATAATTTTCACAGCTATTTTGCCCTTACGCCAAATGGTGTCTGTTTCGGCGGATAATCCAGACTGGTTCTTCTCTTACTATGACGTTTTATATTTACCGATTCCTGGGATCAGCGAGTGAATTTGGTTTGACGCTGAAGAGGTGACAAAGTGTGAGAGCAAAGGTGGTAGGATGGTATTTGCTTGAAAAAACGGGTGTGGCGGTAGGCACCCCCAACACCTGTACCCAACCCTATGATCCCACCCTCTCACCCACCCCACCCAATAAACCCACCACTCACCCAACCCCCATTCGTTGCACCCACCCCACCCCATGAACCCACCACTCACCCCACCTCCATTCCCTGCACCCACCCCACCCCATCACTCACCCACCCCCTGCACCCACCCAATAAACCCACCACTCACCCAACCCCCATTCGTTGCACCCACCCCACCCCATAAACCCACCCCCTGCACCCACCCCACCCCATGAACCCACAACCCACCCAACCTCTATTCCATGCACCTACCCCCACCCCAACCCCTCACTCACCCTGCCAAAAAACCCACCACTCACCCACACCCATCCCCTACACTTAGCTCCATCCACTCCCAGACTCCACCCCACCCATACACTGCACCTATTCCCGCTCGTCCACGCAACCCACCCACTCACTCACCACAACGTATGCCCTCGCCCCCATCTCCCGCACCTACCCCAACATCTGCACTGACCTTCCGCTCTTCATCTAGTATATTTGATGTTACAGCAATATGTCTTTGTTCTTGATGCGAAATATTTTGTCAATGTTAGTGACTATTATAAACTTATCAATGATCTGACTTGATCTAAACTAGCTAGTTTGTCTCGAGAGAACACTATAATACAACTCACGACTCTAAACACACAGTTGTCATTTCAGGCGATCCCCATTGCGAAATCCATCACGCTCTGTCAGGCTAGACGGAGTTACTTCCCTTGTTTACATCGAATGCATTCCCTGTGACGCACTACAAGCCGAGTGCATTGACAATCATCCGCGGTGCGCTGTGCTCTTTGTGAAACAGCGTGATAGGACCTTGTGCGCTTACACGATGTCATGGCTATGCGGGTGGTGATTCTACGATGGGCGATGATAAGGTGAGCTCGGCAGATCCACTCAAATTGTGTAGAACAGTCAACTCACACATACAGAGTAATGGCTGCCTCGCTGATGTGTTGGGCTATATAGACAGTAACCAAGTCACACCCCTGACCTATAAACGGAACTGTGATGCGCGTGATCTGGATTCTCCAGTAGGTGTGGCAGCCCTTGCGGGACGAGCTGATGTTGTCAGCGCTCTAATTGATCGGGGGTTTGCCGCAAACGAAAAATGTCGCACTGCCCTCGGGTATTCATGTACACCAATACACCTTGCATGCAAGATGGGCCACATCACCGTCGTCAAGTCGCTAGTCGAGGACCATGGAGTCAGCGTCAACATTAACGACGGTTGGGGCAACTCCCCTCTGTGTAGTGCCGTCAAATCTGGAAGCGCTGATGTAGCTGGGTATCTGATAAAGAAAGGAGCAACATTAGATTTCCGGGAACTGTTTACAAAATGTACGTATCTCCATTTTGTGGCCGACACAGAGAACATAGACCTGTGCAAATGTCTGGTTGCACACGGGTGTTACGCCAACGCTCGTGACGTCACGGGATGCACACCTCTCCACGTCGCAGCGACGTCAGGAAACGTCGAGATGGCAAATATTCTCCTTGAAGCTTGTGCAAATATTAATGTGGTGGATAGTTTTAACCGTACGCCGTTTTTCAACGCGGCCGCGGAGGGGCATATTGAAATGCTGAGGTTGCTGTTTTCTCAGGGTGCGGATCCGAGTGTCTGTGACGCGAACGGCACCTCCCCGCTCCTGACGGCGATAGAGTACTGCGGCAGTGACGTCAACACTGTTCGATACCTCCTTGTCGACGTCAACGCTAATCTCGGCTCACAGGGAAATTTGAGGGGTAAGACGCCCTTGTTGTTAGCGGTGCAACGGGGTCACTCGGACATCGTTGACATGATTATCAATACCGGATATGACGCCACGCAGAATGACATCACGTGGTGCCGTCACGTGGTTGTTGGAAAAGGAGAGCCAGCTGCCAGGTTGGTTATGGAGTCAGCTTCTAAAACTCGAACGCTTCAAGATATTTGCTGTTTTAAAATCAGGCGTGTCCTCGGCGCACGCCTCGCCAAAGATGTCGACAGACTCAGTGTTCCGGAAGCTTATATTAAATTCATCAAGCTTGACCACGTGATGTCAACCTTTATAAAAACGAGTGAACGCTATGATATTTGTTTGTTGTTTAAAACTGGACAGTTTTCCAGCTATATGACGACGTCCTGTAAATACAGTGATTGATTTAATGAGCACCGATCTTCACTGTCAGTCTAGATAACACACACAATCCAAATTTCAACTTAATTTACGCATAATGCCGAACTGGAGTTGCCTCCCTTGGATTGCTTCAACTTCCCCTGCACAGCTTTGTGCATCTGAGCTGTAAACGCATTGCGTGAGTGAGTGAGCGAGTGAGTATGGTTTTACGCCGCTTTAAGTAATATTCCAGCAATATCACGGCGGGGGACACCAGAATTAAATGGGCTTCACACATTGTACCCATGTCGGGAATCGAACCCGGGTCTTCGGCCTGACGAGCGAACGCTTCAACCACTAGGTTACCCTGTAAACGCATTGGATTAAGTTATAAACGCATATAATATCCAATATTGATCAAAGATACCTATTCCACGTAGTGTCATTAATCTTATGAAAAACTCTTTATTCTATTTCCGTGGGTCTGTTTGTTTGCTTAACGCCACATTCCTGCAATATTACATGTGTGTGATTGCGGCTTGTAAATATTTTAGTCAGGACCAGATATTCCAGTGACTAACATTTTCAGCAACGATCCATTTTAGTTCATTTTCAATTGTGCCAGTGTGGCAAACTCCAGTTTATCAAAATTCAACGTCAACACTGGTAGGATCGATTTAATTTCAACAACAGAAATACATATCATCAGAGGCCACGACGACCCGCAACAAAGTCGAACATTCTCCATACACGTCGTCTTTTCTGTATTCATAGTTTTTAAGACAATTGAAAATCATTCAGTATGATGTACGGTAATAATTGCTGAAATCTTACCATGCTCCGTTCAGAAGTGTTGGTTTAATACCTTCTGAATTCCATACACAGGGAATAAGTCGTACGTGAATCAAATTTAAATTGCAACCGTATCACTAAGCTTAACATCCAATTGATATAAATTTACCTTGAAACTAAATTGGGGTTGGGAGAGGTTACTCGTCACACCTGCTACATCAGAAGAAGCAACGATTGAGGGGATGGGTGGGTGGGTTTGTGTGGGGTGGGGTTGGGGTAGAAGGATGTTATCGACCACTTCTACAATCTGTGTCTCAGAAGAGGCAGAGATGTTGGTAGTGCTGTGGGGATGGGGGGTGGATGGTTGTTGCAGGGGGTCATCCATCATTTATTCTGTACCCCCGACTGAAGAAGCAGGTGTGGCTGGGGGTTTGTAAAATGGATGCTTTGTTGCCATCAAGTCGTTCAGTTTCTTCATCTCATCACTGTCAGGGGACATTTTGTTTTTCTGAAATTAAAATAATGTAAATTTTTAAATATATATTTCAGAACATTTTGAAATTGTGTGTAATCGATAGGATGAGTGCGGGATTGAGGTTGTACGCTTCCCCTAGCAATTGCCCAGCGACATCTCGGCTGGAAACACCAGAGATGGGCTTTAAACCCTTGTGCCCATGGGGAATCGAACCTTCGTCGTGATGAGCTTTAATCACTAGTCTTACCGACTGGTCTTTGACATAACTGTCAAATATTATTAAGGTAGTGGGTGAGTCGGATTTTACCCCTTCTCTGTGATATGCCAGCGATATCACTGTGAGAAACACCAGAGATTGGCTTTACCCCTTGTGCCCATGGGGAATCGAACCTTCGTCGTGATGAGCTTTAATAACTAGTCTTACCGACTGGTCTTTGACATAACTGTCAAATTTTATTAAGGTAGTAAGTGAGTAGAGTTTTACCCCTTCTCTGGGATATGCCAGCGATATCGCGACGGGAAACACCATTAATGGAGTTCACGCATTCTACCCATATTGGAATCGAACACGGACCTTCGGTATGACGCGCTTTGACCCCTAGTCTATCTCATCGCCCTTCGACATGACTGATCCTTGTATAGCGCGATCTCAATCTCACACAGGGCGACACGGGTGGCCCAGTCGTTTCATGCGGTTCGCTGTGCAGAGTTGCGACCCTTACGCAGACCAGAAACCTATGATTGTGGGTTCGAATCCTGGTTCCTATGTTTCTAGGTTTGTCAGCACCATACCCCTGCTCGTGGGTTCCACCGAAGTGGTAAACGTCTGAGACCTGCATCACTACGGGCTTGCCTCTGTGATACACGCCGTGATATAACTGGAATAATGTTAACAGCGGCGTTAAACCCCACTCACTCACTCACTCACTCAATCTCACATACATGGAGACAGATCCGCATAAGCCCTGTGCCAGTATTCTTGTTGTCAAGGGAGTAGATCTTCTTCTCTAGACTCAGGGTCGTCTGGTACTGCACAGCTTTTGTGAGCTCCATCACACCAACGTCAGAGATCCGGTTCCCTGAAAGACGCATTATTGGTTTAGAATCAGCTAGTGGGTATTTGCTTACAGGTACCCACGTCGATCTACGCTGCTTTTGACGAGTTTCAATGTTTTACCACCAGAACAAAAGTTGATATAAAACTGTGATCCGTGGTACCTAGAACTTCATTCACTTCTGGCGTTAATACTATTCACATTTATTATCTTTGCCAAAGCTTGGTAAAATGGAAACAAGATCTTACTGGCAAGATTGAGATTGACAAGGATCCTGTTTCCGGACATCAGCAGGGTCTGCAACTCAGGAATATACTCAGCAGTCTCCATCAGCGGGTTGATGATCACCACAACTTCGGCTACCTGGTGACCAGGAACATCGACACGTGAGGGGCATTACAAGAATCATTGATATCTCTGCGCGTGGAAACCGATATATGTAAGCCAAAACGATATCCGCTGTCGTCTGTGAACAATGTACCCGATATATGTAAGCCACGACAAGATCCGCTGACGCCTGTGAACAATGTACCCGATATATGTGAGCCACGACAAGATCCACTGACGTCTGTGAACAATGTACCCGATATATGTGAGCCACGACAAGATCCGCTGACGCCTGTGAACAATGTACGCCGATATATGTGAGCCACGACAAGATCCGCTGACGTCTGTGAACAATGTACCCGATATATGTAAGCCACGACAAGATCCACTGACGTCTGTGAACAATGTACGGCCGATATATGTAAGCCACGACAAGATCCACTGACGTCTGTGAACAATGTACGTCCGATCGATATATATAAGCCACGACAAGATCCACTGACGTTCACAGATGTACGCCAATTTATAAGAGACGACAAGATCCACTGACGTCTGTGAACAATGTACGGCCGATATATGTAAGCCACGACAAGATACACTGACGTCTGTGAACAATGTACCCGATATATGTAAGCCACGACAAGATCCACTGACGCCTGTGAACAATGTACGCCGATATATGTGAGCCACGACAAGATCCGCTGACGTCTGTGAACAATGTACCCGATATATGTAAGCCACGACAAGATCCGCTGACGCCTGTGAACAATGTACGCCGATATATGTAAGCCACGACAAGATCCACTGACGTCTGTGAACAATGTACCCGATATATGTAAGCCACGACAAGATACACTGACGCCTGTGAACAATGTACCCGATATATGTAAGCCACGACAAGATCCACTAAAGTCTGTGAACAATGTACGCCGATATATGTAAGCCACGACAAGATCCACTGACGCCTGTGAACAATGTACGCCGATATATATAAGCCACGACAAGATCCACTGACGCCTGTGAACAATGTACGCCGATATATAAGCCACGACAAGATCCACTGACGCCTGTGAACAATGTACGCCGATATATGTAAGCCACGACAAGATCCACTGACGCCTGTGAACAATGTACGCCGATATATATGCCACGACAAGATCCACTGACGCCTGTGAACAATGTACCCGATATATGTAAGCCACGACAAGATCCACTGACGTCTGTGAACAATGTACGCCGATATATGTAAGCCACGACAAGATCCACTGACGTCTGTGAACAATGTACGCCGATATATATGCCACGACAAGATCCACTGACGTCTGTGAACAATGTACGCCGATATATGTAAGCCACGACAAGATCCACTGACGCCTGTGAACAATGTACGCCGATATATATGCCACGACAAGATCCACTGACGTCTGTGAACAATGTACCCGATATATGTAAGCCACGACAAGATCCACTGACGTCTGTGAACAATGTACCCGATATATGTAAGCCACGACAAGATCCACTGACGTCTGTGAACAATGTACGCCGATATATATGCCACGACAAGATCCACTGACGCCTGTGAACAATGTACGCCGATATATGTAAGCCACGACAAGATCCACTGACGTCTGTGAACAATGTACGCAGATATATATGCCACGACAAGATCCACTGACGCCTGTGAACAATCTACGCCGATATATATAAGCCACGACAAGATCCACTGACGTCTGTGAACAATGTACGCCGATATATATGCCACGACAATATCCACTGACGCCTGTCAACAATGTGCGCCGATATATGTAGGCCTTGACAAGATCCGATATATCCGAGGACAGTCGACATCAATATGTGCAGGACAGGACATGGACAGGGGAACAAGAACCGCCTCCATCATGGGCAGGTTGTGGATACGGTCACATACAGGAGGGTAAGGGGATCCCTGGTGTTTTGTCCATCAACACCTGGTTTCTCTTCTCAATGGATAAGGAATTCAATATGACGTCACTACTATTGTCACCGCATCACGTGCTCCACCATGTGAGTGAGTGAGTAAGTATGGTGTTACGCCGCTTTTAGCAATATTCCAGCAATATCATGGCGGGGGACACCACAAATAGGCTTCACACATTGTACCCATGTCGGGAATCGAACCCGGGTCTTCGGCGTGACGAGCGTACGCTTGACCACCAGGCTACCCGACCGCCCCTCTCCGCCATGTATGTGTATTCCCTATTCCTCGAAATTTCGTATCAGCCGGTTACGTGTCGTTTGTTGTTGTCTCTTCTAAACTTTACTCGTGGATACTCTGGGTTCGAACAGGTCCCCAGCATAATCATTGATCTCTGGATTCAATGCAGGCCGCGATATACTGTGCAGCGTAAGACAATATGACATCTTAAGGTAGCCACATCTAATTATCGACGCACCTAATTACATAAGTACATTCCCACTACAAATGATAAAGTCGTTCCGTTTCTTCTGTACGACAGTATATACAGTAAACTAGGGTTAAAACGAACTCAAAGGGACTGCAATTTTTAGTTCGTTATAACCGTAGTTCGTTATAAGCATATATACAGCAATGGCCTGGACCAAAAAATAAATTCGTTATATCCGTCAGTTCGTTATAAGCGTGTTCGTTATAACCGTAGTTTACTGTACATGGTCTCACCTCGTTTCCTTGTGGTGTCAGCTTCCTTGTTCTGGATTTGTCACGTGACCTTCCGGATGACTTTCCATCCCCTCCTGGAGCTGTCAATCAAAACGTGGTCACGTGGTCAGTATCTTAACAGGGCTTCCTTGAAAACCTAACTCTTAGTTACAAGTAAATACATGATTGTGATTAGTTCGGATTTGCATAATAATAATCATCTACAATTCTGTGACCGCCCTGTCTCATTACATTAACATGTAATCTTGGTTAAAATACAACACGCCACAAATAATACTTAATGGTTTCTGAAGATTATATACTGCATCATGTATATAGACACTCAGTTATATAAAGTTAACGCTAAAATGTACATAAAATGCCAAATTGGTTGTTATTCAACCTCCTGAACAATCACGATATTGTTAAACCACACAAATTGTGTATTTGATGAAAGCGAGAAAATGCATAAAGTATCATATTATTGACAAATAACATTATTTGAACATCAATCTGTCCGATTCACTTCACCAGGTGAGCTAAGGTTTGGGAGCTGAAGCGAGTGAGTGAATTTTTACGCTGCTATGGAGAAGATAAAACTGTTACGAATGGGGTATTCGAGACCATAGGTGCTTCTGACAAACACAATAATCGACCAATGACACGTATAACAATACGACTGTCTCTTCTGTGAAATGCAGCCCTAGTGACAGCATTTAAATTAAGTGCTTAACAATTTCTAAAATAGCTTGTGTTAAATGTACGAAAGCCAAATGGTGCCAGTTTGGTAGCATACTTTTTCTAAATCGAAATTTCTCGTTATTTCAATTATTTGTTTATTTTCTCGAAATTTCGATTTTCTCTCGTTATTTCGAGTTTTTTCTCTTACTTTCATATATTTTCTCGTTTTTTCAAATTCATTTTAAAAACTCGAAATTTGGAATTCATTTTCTCGTTATTCAATTATTTTTTCTTTGCTTCGAGATTTTTTCTCGTTGTTTAACTTTCTTGTTCATCTAAAACACTTGAATTTCGAAAAAAATCACCTAATTTCAATTATTTTATCGTAATTTCGAAGTTTTTAATTAAACTTGAAATAATCTAAATTATGAGAAAATGATTGAAATAGAGAGCAAAAAAAATAAATTACGAGCTTTGACTTAAACTTGAAATAACGAGAAAGAACTTATAATTTCGAGAAAATATTTGAAATAAGATGTAATCGAAGCAACGAGATAATATTCGAAATTCAGAGCTTTTTAAATAAACTTGAAATAACGAGAACATATTAGAAATTACGAGAAAAGAATTAAAGTAACGAAAAATAAATCGACATAACTCGAAATTTCAGGAAAATTATTAAAATGGATCGAGCGAGAAATTTCGATTTGGGAAAAATAAAATTATGTAACCAAAGTGACACCATTAGATTTTCGTACAAATGTGATAAAAATATATACAAAACAAAAAAATAAAAGAAGGTGACATAAAATGTCTACAACTATGAATACAATAAGAAAAATGAAGTTGCAAAGGTGAAGTACGATTTTAATAGAATTAATCATGAACGCCATGTAGACACGTATAGGTGACATAACAATTTCAAATCTATTATATTGTCACTGTCGTCAACTGACCCCGGGGTCACGGGTGGCCCAGTCGTCTAAGGCGCCGCGATTCGATGTGCACAGTTGCGTCCCTTGGGCACGCTAGAAACCTATGATTGTGGGTTTGAATCCCGGTATGCCCCGATTATGTTGCTAGGTTTGTCAGCACCATACCTGTGCTCGTGGCTTTCACCGAAGTGGTAAACATCTGAGACCTGCATCACTTCGGGCTTTCCTCCCACATTATGCTGACACGCCGTGATATAACTGGAATAATGTTAAAAGCAGCGTTTAACCCAACTCACTCACTCACTCACTCAAATCTATAACATTGTCACTGTCGTCAACTGACCCCGGGGTCACGGGTGGCCCAGTCGTCTAAGGCGCCGCGATTCGCTGTGCAGAGTTGCGTCCCTTGGGCACGCTAGAAACCTATGATTGTGGGTTTGAATCCCGGTATGCCCCGATTATGTTGATAGGTTTGTCAGCACCATACCCGTGCTCGTGGGTTTCACAGACGTGGTAAACGCCTGAGAACTGCATCACTTCGGGCTTTCCTCCCACATTATGCTGACATGCCGTGATATAACTGGAATAATGTTAAAAGCGGCGTTAAACCCAACTCACTCACTCACTCACTCATCTTAACCCTCTACGAACCGAAAATTAATTATGGTGCAAAAAAATAAGATAAAAGTGTCTCAGCAGAAGAAGCATGTGTACATAAATCAATAAAATGCACTACCTCAAGACCAGGGTAAACAAGAGGCATTGTAGCTCACCTATCATCCTTCACAATACCCGCATGTCACAAGTTATGTAGGGATGCTATGTCTATTTCGAGTCGGTACGGTAGCCAAGTGACATCACCATCTACCCGCAATGTCAGACACGTGTCAGATGCGGAATGGGAAGTGAAAGTGCAGCTTCACCCAAACGCAGCGGTCACCAACAGTAGTGTGAGGTTGTCTCGGTATTGGACAGTTTCACCCAAACGCAGTGGTCACCAACAGTAGTGTGAGGTTATTCTCGGTATTGGACAGCTTCACCCAAACGCAGTGGTCACCAACAGTAGTGTGAGGTTGTCTCGGTATTGGACAGTTTCACCCAAACGCAGTGGTCACCAACAGTAGTGTGAGGTTATTCTCGGTATTGGACAGTTTCACCCAAACGCAGTGGTCACCAACAGTAGTGTGAGGGTGTTCACGGTATTGGACAGCTTCACCCAAACGCAGCGGTCACCAACAGTAGTGTGAGGTTGTTCTCGGTATTGGACAGCTTCACCCAAACGCAGCGGTCACCAACAGTAGTGAGTGCCTGCATGTGAGATCATAGACTGTGACGTGTAATCCGATTTTCATTGTATTCAGTCTCGTTGTTGTCCCTGTCTCGTAAACGTCTTGTGTTCGTACCTCTGTGTTGCTTTTGATGTTGTTTGTTTACTTGTTGTTTACCGCCGCACTCGGCAATATTCCAGCTATATGACGGCGGTCTGCAAAATAATCGAGTCTGGACCAGACAAGTCAGTGATTGACATCATGAGCACCAATCCACGCCATTGGGATACGATGACATGCATCAACCATCAACGAAGTCAGCGAACCTGACCACCCGATCCCGTTAGTCGCCTCTTACGACAAGCAGAGTCGCCTTTTACGGTAAGCAGGGGTTGCTGAAGACCTATTCTACCCCGGATCTCAACGGGTTTAGTCATTGGATGAGTTGGGTTTCATGCAGCTAAGTTCCAACGTATTTCAATACATTCATCTATTAAATGTATTCATAGATAAAAACACTAAATGTAGCTGCGATTAAACTCAATCTATGTAACCCAGAAAAACAGTCTTGCGAAGACCCGTGAAGACCCGTGAAGACCCGTGGAGATCCGTGAAGATCCGTGAAGATCCATGGAGATCCGTGAAGATCCGGGGTAGAAAGGTTCTTCAGCAACCCTTGCTTGTCGTAAAACGCGACAAACGGGATCGGGTGGTCAGGCTCGCTGACTTGATTGATGCGCATAATGTCAATCACTGGATTGTCGGACTCAATTATTTACAGACCGCCGTCAAAAAGCCGGAATATTTGTGAGTGCCGCGTTAAACAATAAACAGACAAAACAAAACAAAAAGTCTTGCAAATGTGTTTGTGGAAACAAAATCAGGATTCGCTAAACCAATATACTGTGAGTGAGTGAGTATGGTTTTACGCCGCTTTTAGCAATTTCCCAGCAATATCACGGCGGGGGACACCAGAAATGGGCTTCACACATTGTACCCATGTCGGGAATCGAACCCGGGTCTTCGGCGTGACGAGCGCACACTTTAACCACTAGGCTACCCGACCGCCCCAATATACTTTGGCTCATGCAAGAAGGTTCATCATAATGAACGATGAGGATGCCACGACATCAACCAGTGCCTGTGACACAGTTGATGATGCCCCATGTATCTTACACACTATTAACTGATTTACTACTAAGCCAGTGAAGAAAACAAAAATATGTCATATTAACTCACGTTTCATCAGTCCTTTAATCAACGACTTAAACAATCCTAAATACAAACAGCATGATGTGAATTAGAAGTGGCTATCGTCGAAAGATATCCAATATCTGCCGGTGCTACCATGATAAGTGTTCCTATTTCTGGCAAAACCTGCACACAGGTAAGTATGTATTACGTACAAATACACCTTACGATTAATATTATTAATATTTATTAAAAATAATTATTATTATTAACATTAATATTGTTTAGTTTCTAGGTTAGCTATTGAGGGTTTATGCAGCATATGAAACTCAACGAAAAATATCAAATGTCAAAAAATGGTTTCGTTTTTCTTCATGTGAAATATTCAACATCTTGAAAAAAGAAGATTCATAATATCAGCTGCCCTCGACCTTGAGGCTTGTTCTACAGAATATCCTCTCCACGTACTTTTCTAATGCCACACCACACGTATCAGTTAGTCCAATAGACTAGGCAAAGATCATTGGAACACGTGTACCTTTCTTCTGGGGAGGTTCCTTCTCCTTCTCCTGCACCTTCTCCTTCTCCTGCACCTTCTCCTTCCGCTGGGGGACTCTTTTCTCTTCCTCCCTGACCTTTGGTTCCTGAATAAGAAATTTGTAAATATTGTACCCAGTGATAGGCATCTTCCCGAGGCAAGCGTGTCCACTCGCCAATATCAAAGCCTAGTTTCTACATCTTCCCGAGGCAAGCGTGTCCACTAGCCTATATCAAAGCCGAGTTTCTACATCTTCCCAAGACAAGCGTGTCCACTAGCCTATATCAAAGCCTAGTTTCTACATCTTCCCGAGGCAAGCGTGTCCACTAGCCTATATCAAATCCTAGTTTCTACATCTTCCCGAGGCAAGCATGTCTCCTAGCCTATATCAATGCCTAGTTTCTACATCTTCCCGAGACAAGCGTGTCCACTAGCCAATATCAAAGCCTAGTTTCTACATCTTCCCGAGGCAAGCATGTCTCCTAGCCTATATCAATGCCTAGTTTCTACATCTTCCCGAGACAAGCGTGTCCACTAGCCAATATCAAAGCCTAGTTTCTACATCTTCCCGAGGCAAGCATGTCTCCTAGCCTATATCAATGCCTAGTTTCTACATCTTCCCGAGGCAAGCGTGTCCACTCGCCAATATCAATGCCTAGTTTCTACATCTTCCCGAGACAAGCGTGTCCACTCGCCAATATCAAAGCCTAGTTTCTACATCTTCCCGAGGCAAGCGTGTCCACTCGCCAATATCAAAGCCTAGCTTCTACATCTTCCCGAGGCAAGCGTGTCCACTGGCCAATATCAAAGCCTAGTTTCTACATCTTCCCGAGGCAAGCGTGGCCACTCGCCAATATCAAAGCCTAGTCTCTACATCTTCCCGAGGCAAGCGTGTCCATTAGCCAATATCAAAGCCTAGTTTCTACATCTTCCCGAGGCAAGCGTGTCCACTAGTCTATATCAAAGCCTAGTTTCTACATCTTCCCGAGGCAAGCGTGTCCACTGGCCAATATCAAAGCCTAGTCTCTACATCTTCCCGAGGCAAGCGTGTCCACCAGCCAATATCAAAGCCTAGTTTCTACATCTTCCCGAGGCAAGCGTGTCCACTAGTCTATATCAAAGCCTAGTTTCTACATCTTCCCGAGGCAAGCGTGTCCATTAGCCAATATCAAAGCCTAGTTTCTACATCTTCCCGAGGCAAGCGTGTCCACTAGCCAATATCAAAGCCTAGTTTCTACATCTTCCCGAGGCAAGCATGTCCACTAGCCAATATCAAAGCCTAGTTTCTACATCTTCCCGAGGCAAGCGTGTCCACTAGCCAATATCAAAGCCTAGTTTCTACATCTTCCCGAGGCAAGCGTGTCCACTAGCCAATATCAAAGCCTAGTTTCTACATCTTCCCGAGGCAAGCGTGTCCACTAGCCAATATCAAAGCCTAGTTTCTACATCTTCCCGAGGCAAGCGTGTCCACTAGCCAATATCAAAGCCTAGTTTCTACATCTTCCCGAGGCAAGCGTGTCCACTAGCCAATATCAAAGCCTAGTTTCTACATCTTCCCGAGGCAAGCATGTCCACTAGCCAATATCAAAGCCTAGTTTCTACATCTTCCCGAGGCAAGCGTGTCCACTAGCCAATATCAAAGCCTAGTTTCTACATCTTCCCGAGGCAAGCGTGTCCACTAGCCAATATCAAAGCCTAGTTTCTACATCTTCCCGAGGCAAGCATGTCCACTAGCCAATATCAAAGCCTAGTTTCTACATCTTCCCGAGGCAAGCGTGTCCACTAGCCAATATCAAAGCCTAGTTTCTACATCTTCCCGAGGCAAGCGTGTCCACTAGTCTATATCAAAGCCTAGTTTCTACATCTTCCCGAGGCAAGCGTGTCCACTGGCCAGTATCAAAGCCTAGTCTCTACATCTTCCCGAGGCAAGCGTGTCCATTAGCCAATATCAAAGCCTAGTTTCTACATCTTCCCGAGGCAAGCGTGTCCACTAGTCTATATCAAAGCCTAGTTTCTACATCTTCCCGAGGCAAGCGTGTCCACTAGTCTATATCAAAGCCTAGCTTCTACATCTTCCCGAGGCAAGCGTGGCCACTGGCCAATATCAAAGCCTAGTTTCTACATCTTCCCGAGGCAAGCGTGTCCACTAGCCAATATCAAAGCCTAGTTTCTACATCTTCCCGAGGCAAGCGTGTCCACCAGCCAATATCAAAGCCTAGTTTCTACATCTTCCCGAGACAAGCGTGTCCACTGGCCAATATCAAAGCCTAGTTTCTACATCTTCCCGAGGCAAGCGTGTCCACTAGCCAATATCAAAGCCTAGTTTCTACATCTTGCCGAGGCAAGCGTGTCCACCAGCCAATATCAAAGCCTAGTTTCTACATCTTCCCGAGACAAGCGTGTCCACTGGCCAATATCAAAGCCTAGTTTCTACATCTTCCCGAGGCAAGCGTGTCCACCAGCCAATATCAAAGCCTAGTTTCTACATCTTCCCGAGACAAGCGTGTCCACTGGCCAATATCAAAGCCTAGTTTCTACATCTTCCCGAGGCAAGCATGTCCACTAGCCTATATCAAAGCCTAGTTTCTACATCTTCCCGAGGCAAGCATGTCCACTAGCCAATATCAAAGCCTAGTTTCTACATCTTCCCGAGGCAAGCGTGTCCACTAGCCAATATCAAAGCCTAGTTTCTACATCTTCCCGAGGCAAGCATGTCCACTCGCCAATATCAAAGCCTAGTTTCTACATCTTCCCGAGGCAAGCGTGTCCACTAGCCAATATCAAAGCCTAGTTTCTACCCTTGCCACCAAGGCCACTTTTCCTGGCACGACCCTGGCGCCACCTCGCGTAGATCACGAGTTGTGCCCCTTGTAATGAAGTTGTGGCCCCTGATATCCAATCAGATCGCTGTTCTCATCCCGAAAAGCTTCACAAAGATGGCGACTACCATAGGCCACGACCTGGTCGATCAGATAACGAATAAAATTCGCGATTTCATCCCTGACACAAAAACTTGGGCATCGTACAGGAAGGTTAAAAGAGGAAAAAGGCACATTCGTGTCAACAAAGACAGGCAGTGGTAAATCACTTTCATACGAAGGTGTACCAGTCGTGGATGTTGATTTTGTGAAACGTTCTCTGATTGGACTCTTGATATGTGCGATGGTCCAATGATATTTAGCACAGGAAATCGGGCTTGATGTGGCAAGGGTGGAAACATGACTTTGAAAAATAAAAAGGCTAGTGGACGCTCTTGCCTCGGGTAGATGGGGCCTATGCTTGTCGTAAGAGACGACGAACGGGATCGGGTGGTCAGGCTCGATGACTTGGTTGATGCTCATGATGTTAATCACTGGATTGTCTTGTCCACACTTGATTATTTACAGCCCGCTGTCATATAGCTGGAATATTGCCAAACATCATCGGCCGACAGCTGAGAAAGGGTTAGATGCAGGGTAGATTAGGAATATTCCTACTCTCAACCAGTGGTCGGCTATTTTCAGCTGGTACATTGCTGGTTGTGACGTAAACATCATGAACTCACACAAACAATCAGCTTTAACCTGTATACGATAATGCATCATTCGGCAGTACGGATGGGGATGCACGTGACTTTAGAGTAAGTGAGTGAGTTGTGTTTAACGCCGCTTTTAACAGTATTCAAGTTACATCACGGCATGTCAGCTTAATGTGTGAGGAAAGCCTGAAGTGATGCAGGTCTCAGACGTTTACCACTTCGGTGAAAGCCACGAGCACGGGTATGGTGCTGACAAACCTAGAAACATTTTTGGGCGAACCGGGATTCGAACCCACAATCATAGGTTTCTGGCATGCCCAAGGGACGCAACTGTGCACAGTGACGCCTTAGACGACTGGGCCACCCGTGCCCCCACGTGGGTTCTCAACAAGACGGTTGCTCCAGCATGTGGATAAAGACACTATGTGATCATGGACCCATAGGTGGTGTTTAGAAATACCACTCAGGACATCATCTGTTGTTCTGAATCCCATAACTACAGTCGATTATATACTTCGATACATCCGGAGATTCTAGAGAAACGCCATCAGCAGACCATGATCCATTTGTGAGTGGTGAGTTTAACGCTGCTTGAACAGTAGTACGTTATGTCAAAGCGTGCCCGCTCATTCGATGAACAGTAAACTACGGTATAACGATCTCAAAGGAACCACTGATTTTAGTTCGTTATAAGCATATATACAGCAAAAGGCTGGGACCAAAAATATGTTCGTTATATCCGTCAGTTCGTTATAAGCATGTTCGTTATAAACGTATTTACTGTATAACAGACAGACAATATGCAGTGATAACTCAACATCGTTTAACTTACCTTGGACCTTTTAGATGGAGTTTTGTCTCGCTTGGATTTGTCTTTCTCCGACTGAGAGTTGTCTTTCTTAGTTTTGTCCTTGTCCGATTGAGAGTTATCTCGCTTTGATTTGTCCTTGTCCGATTGAGAGTTGTCTCGCTTGGATTTATCTCTTTCCGACTGGGAGTTGCTGCGGGCAGTTCCGGATCTGTCCCCTCGGCGACTGTTGGTTGACTGTGGAGATAACAAACAGGAAGTGGAGATGAACCATGTCTGAATGCAGTGAGGTGAGGTGCAATTGGGTTAACGTCGCGTCCAAGATTATTGCACTTATGTAGCGACGTGCATGCACGTGTGTGTGTAGCTGCTTGTACTAGTCCGGGCTGATGCCGATTTTTAGTGCTAGCTCACTGAGATACCATGCCACAGTTTAACATGAATACCCCACTCAGACACAGTATGCTGACTCCGAGCCGACCAGTCCTTGTTTTAGCCCCTTGATGCCCTTGATGTACTTAACGTCTTTTGATATGACGCGACCGGGCATCGAACCCCGGACCTTCCGCTCTCCGGGCGGACGCTCTACCACTAGACCACGGAGGCGGTCTTCTGACGGCAGTACACCCAAACAGATCGTATCTAGGATCATGTTCTTATTTCTCATTTGTATAAGCACGAACACAAAACTTTGATATGATATGGATATTTTTTTTCATATTAAGAATTTTTTGTGTCCTGTTTGATTATGTGATGTGTATTGGCTGAAAACAAACCAATTTCGCTTTCTGGAGATTTCGGTTTTTAAAAACTACTTTTCATATTTCAAATATCAGCGTTTGGCCATGTTTGTTTATTCCCACCTCCGAGTAACCGTACATACATTATTTAATAGATTCTTTGCAGTTACACTAAACTGAGGGAAAAAATAAAGTATACCGAGTATTTGTTATGTAATTTAAAATTGAAAGACGTGCTGTTAAATTTGATTATGTCTATTTAACCATCAATCATTCCTGCAACGGTTTGTAAGCGTAATCTGTGACTGGGTAATTTTGTGTTAAAATATATTGGTGTAATAAGACTGGAGAAAGAAATAAATTTTGACCCATTCCATGTTTATATGTAAATTTGCATCAAATACAGCTATTTTATTTATTTTCAAAGATAACTGTCTTAGGTACCCATCAGCAGTTGTGTATGATGGCAATTGTATATATGTTTTAAAAAATTTAAATCAAATTATATTTTTTTTAAATAAAACAATGTTGAAGTATTCTTTGGGTGCTTGTTTAAATATAATATCGCAAACTTAAGATATTTACAATTGAAAATAAAACATGATGAAATCAACTGAGAAGCACGGTTTCTTTTGCCTGTCATTCTATATGTGTTTGGATCGCCTCGGTGGTCTAGTGGTAGAGCGTCCGCCCGAAGAGCGGAAAGTCCGGGGTTCGATCCCCGGCCGCGTCATACCAAAGATGGTACTTGTTGTTACCCTGTCTGGCGCTCGGCATTAAGGGGTTCAAACAAGGACTGGTCGCTATATAAGTGCAATAATCTTGGACGCGACGTTAAATCCAATTTCACCTCACCTCACCTATATGTGTTGTTGTCTCAGTGGCATACCATTTTTGAATTTGGAAATAAATTGTTATAAGGTTTTACAAAAAAACATCGATCAGTGAAAACGCTGGATGTCCTGGGAAACACTGTGTTTCTGTGTTGTGTTTCGTTGTTCCTTACGGGTTTGTTTCTCTCCGCCGCCTCTTTCTCGGAGATGAGCCGCCGCCGCTCCACCACCTCGTCGTGAGTCAGAGGAAACCGAGACAGAGCCTGCAACAGTCCTGCATTCATCAGAGTCGTTGATTTTAGGAATACACGACGGGTGAGGGTTGTTTACCGTAGAACAAAACACTGCAGGGAGAATACACCATGAGGGGCGCAGGCCCAATTGCTTTATTCGCCCTGCAGCGTTTTATTGTACGATAAACCACGAGTCGTTTATGTTTTATATGAGATATCAACATTCACTCTTAAAGGTTGATGATAAAGCTTTAAAAATATTTACCCGCACTTAAATGATGATGGCTCAATAGAGCCCGAATTCGGAAATGTCGGACCAGTCCATTTATTGCAGGTGGCTATTTCCCGCATATTCTCACAATCCTCATGCAGATTATCTGTACCTTTTATCCTAGTAACTATTGTCATACCTCCCGCTTTCGGATGCGACCGTTCGACCATCGCGTTTATCTGCGTTGCCCAGCAACATCTATGGGGAACAACTCACTAGACACTCCTCTCTAAAAATAACGTCGTCCAGTAAACGACGTCATTTAGTGGCGAGCGCATGTTCGAATCTCCAGAAATTACGTCATGATAGAATAATGATTTAACGTGAAAACAAACACGCTTCGTTCTTCATTGTTCTTTGCGATTTATCCAGGACTAATAATATTTCCAGAACTAGCATTGGCGTAGTCTGTCAGACCCCAGAAAAAAAGTCTGGAATCATTTGGCAGGTCTAGGTTGCCTCAGCTTTGGACATAAATCATTGTTCTGGACCCCATTTGGATTACATTTTGGATAAATGTTTAAATACGATAACTTTATTTCTTGGGCCAAGTGGTAGTCTGTAGTACATGTAATATACTTATGTGTTTGACCCGTGAAGGTCCGGGATAGAATAGGTCTTCAGTAACCCATGCTTGCCGTAAAAGGCGACTTTGCTTGTCGTAAGAGGCGACCAACGGGATCGGGTGGTCAGGCTCGCTGACTTGGTTGATGCATATCATCGATCCCAATTGCGTGGATCGATGCTCATGATGTCAATCACTGGATTGTCTGGTCAAGACTCGATTATTTACAGACCGCCGTCATTTAGCTGGAATATTGCTGAGTGCGGCGTTAAACAATAAACAAACAAACAAACGATGTAATATAACCAAGAATGCTGTCAATATCCGCGGCAGTAAGTTGTACCGTATTTTACTCGAAGCTGCATTCAGTTATAATCGTATGCTTCTCTTAGCTGCATTATTTTGAGATTTGAATCTTATGATGTCTTATTATCCAACCTCTGCAATCTTCTTGACGCCCATATCCCCAATCCGATTGTTGGCCAGTGACAGTGACATCAGCCTTCTATTCATCCTCAGTCCCTGAAATCATAAAGATTTACGTCACACAATTACCATCTACGTCACACAGCTAAATTTGAAAATCCCGGGCATTTTGGGGAAGGGTCAACAAAGGTCAAACAGGGGTCAAATTCAAAATTGTGTCGATATGCATATCAAATTACTCGTCATAAGGAACCTAGAAATATATAGTTTGTTATACTTCTGACTTTAAATGGGGGAGCTATGGCCAAAAACGTTGAAAGGTCAACGCACTTTTGGCAGTCGGTGAAATTCACTAACACAGTTAACATTGTCCGATATCATGATTTTAAGGTCTACTAATATGTTTTCTGACATGACAAATTCAACCAAGCAACTTTTAAAAGTAAAACGGGTTACCTTGACATTGAAAATCGAAAATGGTTGGCTGCACGAAAAATTGTCATGCTTCAGCAAAGTCATTGGAAACAGGATCCTTGGCCAAAAACGCCAATATTTCTCCATAATAAATGTAGTTCCAGTTACATCGGTGGTGCATACATAGGAGAGTGATGATGTGTGGCACAAACATAATGTTACAATTTAGATTTTTGCAGGTTATTGACATCACTGAGATTACCCGTGCTAGATGCTCCGCGCCGACATCTGTGATGCTGTTTCCGGTGAGGTTCAGAGACAAGAGCTTGGTGTTGAACCGCTTGGCTGTACCCAGAGCTCTGCTGATTCCCTCCATCCCCGTGTCTGTGATGGAGCAGTGCTGGAGGGACAGGGTCTGGACGCTGGGGGGAGGAAATAAGGGCACTAACTTGTAGTAGTAGTAGTAGTAGTAGTAGTAGTAGTAGTGTTGGTTGTAGTAGTAGTGGTAGTTGTAGTAGTAGTAGTAGAAGTAGTAGTAGTAGTAGTAGTAGTTGTAGTAGTTGTAGTAGTAGTGGTAGTTGTAGTGGTAGTAGTAGTAGTACTGGTAGTCGTAGTTGTAGTAGTAGTTGTAGTGGTAATAGAAGTTGTAGTAGTTGTAGTAGTAGTGGTAGTAGTAGTAGTAGTAGTAGTTGTTGTAGTGGTAGTAGTAGTTGTAGTAGTAGTGGTAGTAGTAGTTGTAGTAGTAGTAGTAGTAGTAGTAGTTGTTGTTGTAGTGGTAGTAGTAGTTGAAGTAGTAGTGATAGTGGTAGTTGTAGTAGAACTAGTAGTAGTTGTAGTAGTTGTGGTAGTAGTAGTCGTAGTAGTAGTTGTAGTAGCTCTACAAATGATGATAGTCAATCTAATAATGAGAGAATCTCATCCGAGGGTCTTTTGATATATAGGATATATTGCTAAGGAGTTTCAATTTTTTATCAACGATTTTTGATAAGTTTGCCATAAAATTACACGAGGGTGAGATTCTATTTTTCACCCAAAATCATTCTTCCAACCTTTACAGTTGTAAATAGTAATAACCAGTGTCTTAAGCGTAAGTATTTGTCAGCTTCAGTGGCAGAGAGGTACAAGAGTCATTTGATTGTGACGTCATGGTAACCGATGACGTCACAATGGTTTGCAAAGCATGGTTATTCAATTCATTGTACCGAGACCTAGGAGATACCCACCTGCTATCATCTCCGATCAGCTGATACCAATTCTCCTCTTGTACGCTATTACCGTCCAGGATCAGGTCCCTGGAATAGCGTCAAACGTCATAGAATGTTTATAAATACGCAACAAAGGGTAATTAAGTACTGGGTTAAGCTATTGCGAATGAACGCAAGTATCTTCCAAAGTTATGTTATGCTTAAAGTATTTGATGAGAATAGAAAAGTCAATTTGGCATCGTATGTGAGACAAATGTTATTTAATAGCGGTTTTGCGTATGTGTGGTTATTCCAAGATGTTGGTGATAAGAATAAGATTTTATATGCATTTAGAAGACGCTAAAGATATATATATTTCAAATCATGGTACCTGAGTCTAGATACTTTTTTAGTACATTATGCAAATATAAAATCTCTTCTGCAACCCGAATTATTTATAACAGTACTCAGAGACAAACGGTTAATAAGAGCTATATGTAAATTTCGAATATCTCTTCACAACTTTCGAGTCAACATTATTCGTAAAAGGTCATTGTTAAGTATACATGTATCTTATACAGAATCTACATGTGAAGAATGTGACCTTCATTCAGTAGAGAATGAATACCATGTCTTTTTTGTATATGAGAAATATATTCACTTGATTAATACATTTTTTACCTCATTACAGAAATATTATAAAGGTAATATCACGTTTGCAAATTTATTTAAATCCTGTGATATTCATGAAGTACGGTTGGTTGTTTTATATTTGTGTAAATTATTTAAAATGAGTTCGACAGAGATGTAACACTCTGGACATGTGAACTAAAATGTTATTTATCTTACAACTGTACTGTGGACAATATGGCCTGAATTATGGAATAAACTTGATTGGTTGAGAGTGGCACACGGAACGTGCAGTTCTAGTACTCAGTTATACGGGGAGTGGGAGGGGAAGCTGGAACAGGGTGACGTTGCAGTAATTACGTATATTGGCCAAGAGTGAGTGAGTATGGTTTTACGCCGCTTTTAGCAATATTCCAGCAATATCACGGCGGGGAACACCAGAAATAGGCTTCACACATTGTACCCATGTCGGGAATCAAACCCGGGTCTTTGGCGTGACGAGCGAACGCTTTAACCACTAGGCTACCCGACCGCCCCTAAACACGATTTTAAAACGATGTTATATAGTTAGTGGTGAATCACCGTTTTCCCTTGCAATTACGCCACCCTATCAGTGAAACATTATTGTCAAAATGTGATATTATAACTTACTTGAGGGTTTCGCATTCAGACACAATGGACGCCAAGATGGCAACAGTCTGTCCCGTCAGTCCGACCTGCCATAAGCTGGGGAGGAAAGTGGTCGAGGAATGTAAGAAGAGAATGCAGTGTCTAAATGTACGTTTGTGTCATGCATTCCTTTGAACAGTGATTTGAAATCAATGGATCCCGGAACTCCCAAGGGAGGCAATTCTGCATAGCGATGACAACCATTCTGATGCTTTCCATAAACGTAGATATGTTTGATTATGTTTCATTCCACTGCATACTGTGGTGAAGACATTCATAATATATATAAAACACAGATGGTGAAGTAGTTAACTTTGCTTGACAAATCAATTATTTGAGTTCACATATTGCTCAGTTTGTGTGTATCAGCAAACGCTGTGGCAGATCCAGATGGGATCACATCCTACAGATAATCCCTGTGTAATCAAAATACACCTGTACATTGAATACACCTGTACACTGAATGCACGTGTACATTGAAATACACCTGTACTCTGAATACACATGAACTTTGAATACACCTGTACGTTGAATACACCTGTGCATTAAAATACATCTGTCATTTGAATAAAAACTCACACATACACACACACACTCACGCACACACATGCACTCACACATTTGAGGCTCACACTCACATTCACACATACACGTATATAAAACACACTTACATTTTTTTCAAATGTAGGCCTGACTTACTTGATGGTGTGGAGACGGTCCACGGCCGGCCAGCACTGCTTGAAGATGTTCATCATGCATTCATCCACCCTCCACCCTGGAACAGTGAACTCAGTCAGTTATCCCCCTTTGATAGACGGGGCAAGAATACTTCTACTTTGATCCTCCATCACGAGCAACATTTGCTTTCAAATGATACCGACAAGCTTAAGATTAATTTGCGTGTCAAAGGTTCCCATTCGTAATGGACTGTGTGATAGACTACACTAGAATGATGTATATGTTGGTGACAGTGTCTTCGTGTATCCTCATCACTCACATATTCCTGATGAATAATTTTACATGACAGTGTCCATATATACCCGACACGTATGTATACTTCTCTGACAGTGTCTAGCTATACCCACCACGGATGTATACTTCTCTGACAGTGTCCAGCTATACCCACCACGGATTTTGTACTTCTCTGACAGTGTCAAGCTATATCCAACACGGGTGTACACTTCCCTGACAGTGTCTAGCTATACCCACCACGGATATACACTTCCCTGACAGTGTCTAGCTATACCCACCACGGATGTATATTTCTCTAACAGTGTCTAGCTATACCCACCACGGATGTACACTTCGGTAACAGTGTCTAGCTATACCCACCACGGATGTATACTTCTCTAACAGTGTCTAGCTATACCCACTACGGATATATACTTCCCTGACAGTGTCTAGCTATACCCACCACAGATGTACACTTCTCTAACAGTGTCTAGCTATACCCACCACGGATGTATACTTCTCTGACAGTGTCTAGCTATACCCACCACGGATATATCCTTCCCTGACAGTGTCTAGCTATACCCACCACGGATGTATACTTCTCTGACAGTGTCTAGCTATACCCACCACGGATATATACTTCCCTGACAGTGTCTAGCTATACCCACCACGGATGTACACTTCAGTGACAGTGTCTAGCTATACCCACCACGGATGTACACTTCTCTAACAGTGTCTAGCTATAGCCACCACGGATGTATACTTCCCTGACAGTGTCTAGCTATACCCACCACGGATGTATACTTCTCTGACAGTGTCTAGCTATACCCACCACGGATGTATACTTCTCTAACAGTGTCTAGCTATACCCACCACGGATGTACACTTCTCTAACAGTGTCTAGCTATACCCACCACGGATGTATACTTCCCTGACAGTGTCTAGCTATACCCACCACGGATGTACACTTCCCTGACAGTGTCTAGCTATACCCACCACGGATGTACACTTCCCTGACAGTGTCTAGCTATACCCACCACAGATGTACACCTCGGTGACAGTGTCTAGCTATACCCACCACAGATGTATACTTCTCTAACAGTGTCTAGCTATACCCACCACAGATGTATACTTCCTTGACAGTGTCTAGCTATACCCACCACGGATGTACACTTCTCTAACAGTTTCTAGCTATACCCAACACGTATGTATACTTCTCTAACAGCGTCTAGCTATACCCACCACAGATGTACACCTCGGTGACAGTGTCTAGCTATACCCACCACGGATGTATACTTCCCTGACAGTGTCTAGCTATACCCACCACGGATATACACTTCCCTGACATTGTCTAGCTATACCCGCCACGGATGTATACTTCTCTGACAGTGTCTAGCTACACCTACCACGGATGTATACTTCTCTAACAGTGTCTAGCTATACCCACCATGGATGTATACTTCTCTTAAAGTGTCTAGCTATACCCAACACGGATGTACACTTCTCTAACAGTGTCTAGCTATACCCACCACGGATGTATACTTCTCTGACAGTGTCTAGCTATACCCACCACGGATATATACTTCCCTGACAGTGTCTAGCTATACCCACCACGGATATATACTTCTCTGACAGTGTCTAGCTATACCCACCACAGATGTACACCTCGGTGACAGTGTCTAGCTATACCCACCACAGATGTATACTTCTCTAACAGTGTCTAGCTATACCCACCACAGATGTATACTTCCTTGACAGTGTCTAGCTATACCCACCACGGATGTACACTTCTCTAACAGTTTCTAGCTATACCCAACACGTATGTATACTTCTCTAACAGCGTCTAGCTATACCCACCACAGATGTACACCTCGGTGACAGTGTCTAGCTATACCCACCACGGATGTATACTTCTCTAACAGTGTCTAGCTATACCCACCACGGATGTATACTTCTCTGATAGTGTCTAGCTATACCCACCACGGATGTATACTTCTCTAACAGTGTCTAGCTATACCCACCATGGATGTATACTTCTCTGATAGTGTCTAGCTATACCCACCACGGATGTACACTTCCCTGACAGTGTCTAGCTATACCCACCACGGATGTACACTTCCCTGAGAGTGTCTAGCTATACCCACCACGGATGTATACTTCTCTGACAGTGTCTAGCTATACCCACCACGGATGTACACTTCCCTGACAGTGTCTAGCTATACCCACCACAGATGTATACGTCTCTAACAGTGTCTAGCTATACCCACCACGGATGTATACTTCTCTGACAGTGTCTAGCTATACCCACCACGGATGTACACTTCTCTGACAGTGTCTAGCTATACCCACCACGGATGTACACTTCTCTAACAGTGTCTAGCTATACCCACCATGGATGTATACTTCTCTTTAAGTGTCTAGCTATACCCACCATGGATGTACACTTCGGTGACAGTGTCTAGCTATACCCACCACGGATGTATACTTCTCTGACAGTGTCTAGCTATACCTACCACGGATGTATACTTCTCTAACAGTGTCTAGCTATACCCACCACGGATGTATACTTCTCTTAAAGTGTCTAGCTATACCCACCACGGATGTATACTTCTCTGATAGTGTCTAGCTATACCCACCACGGATGTATACTTCTCTAACAGTGTCTAGCTATACCCACCATGGATGTATACTTCTCTGATAGTGTCTAGCTATACCCACCACGGATGTACACTTCCCTGACAGTGTCTAGCTATACCCACCACGGATGTACACTTCTCTAACAGTGTCTAGCTATACCCACCACGGATGTATACTTCGGTGACAGTGTCTAGCTATACCCACCACAGATGTACACTTCTCTAACAGTGTCTAGCTATACCCACCATGGATGTACACTTCCCTGACAGTGTCTAGCTATACCCACCACGGATGTACACTTCTCTAACAGTGTCTAGCTATACCCACCACGGATGTATACTTCGGTGACAGTGTCCAACTTGTCAGGGTTGTCCATCTCCACCTGTATGGATGGTTTGAAGTACTCAAACTTGTCCTTCGTGGTGTATGTCTTGGGAGGAGGCTCGACTGGCTCTGGTAGCAGGCAATCAGGAAACACACTCATTATCTCAACATTTGTGAATATATGCATTCTGGTCATTCACATCAGGTCGCATGAACACATCTTTCCTCGAGCGATCAATAATATTTATGTCAGGTAAAAATATAGATTTTGATTTTCGTCCTGTCAAGATTGTGTGAATTCAGAGTTATCTTTCCCTTTCATAACCCTCCACTGACAAAGGAAAGTCCCAGTGACCAGGGCCCACTTGCACAAAGCGATCTTAGTGCTAAGACTACCGTATGCCTATGTTAAAGTAGGTGCGGTCGGGTAGCCTAGTGGTTAAAGCGTTCACTCGTCACGCCGAAGACCCGGGTTCGATTCCTGACATGGGTACAATGTGTGAAGCCCATTTATGGTGTCCCCCGCCGTGATATTGCTGGAATATTGCTAAAAGCGGCGTTAAACCATACTCACTCACTCACTCACTCACTATGTTAAAGTATGGGAGTTACGATCATCTGTGGGCCCAGGTCATGTAAGGGACCGACATATTTGTTGAGGGCCGGGGACGATTGTATCGAAGTAACGAAACTGTTCCAGGACAAGCTTGAAAAAAATCTGTTCCAGAGAGTGGAAACAGAACAAATAGTCTGCCACAAAAAATACATTGCTCCAAGATGTTTTTAAGTACATCGCCCATTCAGTAGTGAATTTAGTTAGAACCGTACGAGCACTGACATTAGTGCTGACATACCAAGAAACATAATTCAGGTCGAATCTGGGATTCGAACCCACAATCGTTGGTTGCAGGCATGACTAAAAACATGTTATACGAATGTGGATATGGATATATTTGGTTACAGCTACATAGAGACATGCCACAGGATTTCTTCGCTCGTTTGACACGGACCTTAAAAGATATGTACATCCAAAAAGGGCATGGTTCCTTGTCCAGTTCTTGAAAGCAAATTACTACACTTCATTTAAGATTAGACCGCCTCCGTGGTCTAATGGTAGAGCGTCCGTCCGGAGAGTGGTAGGTCCGGGGTTCGATCCAAAGCCGCGTCATATTAAAAGATGGTACTTGTTGTTACCCTGTCTGGCGCTCGGCATTAAGGGGCTTAAACAAGGACTGGTCGGCTCGGAGTCAGTATACTGTGTCTGAGTGGGGTATTAATGTTAAACTGCGGCATGGTATCTCAGTGGGCTAGCACTATAAATCGGCATCAGTCCGGACTAGTACAAGCAGCCACACACACACACACACACACACACACACACACACACACACACACACACACACACACACACACACACACACACACACACACACGTGCATGCATGTCGCTATATAAGTGCAATAATCTTGGACGCGACGTTAAACCCAATTTCAGCTCACCTCACCTCAACATTTATTGCCTCAATGGCAAATGCCCTACACCAATGAGCTTACCGCCATCCTCGTCGACCAAAGGCTCTGCTGGTATTTCCGGGGGTGCCTGCTGTTTGCTGTTGTATTTGCCTCTCTCTGGCTTGCCGTCGGGGGTGTGGCCCGGGGACACCGGACGCCTCGCTCTGGGGAGGATTTGTGGAACATACACGACGTCTTCTCTCTGGCACAACTCCGCGAAGTCCGACTGGAAGAACCCGGAACAGCTGTATGGACCTGCCAACGTGGAACATACCGTGCAGATACCGTTCTTAAAGGTACCCCGTGATGATCCGGGTTAGGATTCAGCAACCCATGCATACGTATGCTGCTCATATGAACATTAAATTCACACGTTCACTAGGGAAGATCCGGGGTAGAATAAGTCTTCAGCAACCTATGCTTGCCGAAAAGGCGGCTATGCTTGTCTTAAGCTGTAACTAACGGGATCGGGTGGTCACGCTAGCTGACTTGGATGATGCATGTCATCTCAATTGCGTAGATCGAAGCTCATGATGTGAATCATTGGATTGTCTGGTCTAGGCTTTTTTCCGTTACAGACAGCCGTCGTATAGCTGGAATATTGCCGAGTGAGGCGTTAAACAACAAACACACGACCAAACAAAACACATCTTAAATGGTACTAGGGTCAATAAATTGGCAGTCCCGCCAAGTGTGATAAAAGCAATGATTACTCTTGCAGAGTCAATGGTTGAGATTCACACAGGGTATTTATTTCAACGCCTTGGTCACCTATCCGCGGTCACCCGTTGATCAGTCCGACACTGGATGTCCTTCAATGTCTAGTGACCAGAACTTGTGTGACGCTGAGCGATCCTCCAGCAATTAACTGATGCGCCCTGGTATAACTCAAGCACACTCAGGTCGGTATCTTATGGTCACGTTCAGGCCACATCGAATTGCAATGGCAGCTATATTAGGGGGTCACGGAACTGGACTTCACATTATATGCAATGTTGGGAATAAAACCCGGGTTATCACGGTCTGCCACTCCGCTACCCTACCGCCCTGAATAACATTCCAATATTCCAGTGTAAACAGTAATGGCCAGCTGTTTGCAAGTGAGTGAGTGAGTGAGTTGGGATTAACGTCGCTTGGAACAGTATTCCAGATGTATCACGGTATGTCAGCTTGATGTCCACACATTCACAGACACACGCATACAAACACACACACATACACACATTCACAGGCACACGCATACAAACACACACACACACACACACACACATTCACAGACACACGCATACAAACACACACACATACACACACACGCATACAAACACAGACACACACACACACACACACACATTCACAGGCACACGCATACAAACACACACACACACACACACACACACATTCACAGACACACGCATACAAACACACACACATACACACACACGCATACAAACACACACACACACACACACATTCACAGACACACGCATACAAACACAGACACATACACACACACGCATACAAACACAGTCACACGCATACAATCACACACACACACACACATTCACAGGCACACGCATACAAACACACACACACACACACACACACATTCACAGACACACGCATACAAACACACACACATACACACACACGCATACAAACACAGATACACACATACAATCACACACACACACACATTCACAGGCACACGCATACAAACACACACACACACATTCACAGGCACACGCATACAAACACAAACTCATACACACACACGCATACAAACACAGACACACACATACAATCACACACACACACACATTCACAGGCACACGCATACAAACACACACACACACACACACACACACACACATTCACAGACACACGCATACAAACACAGACACACATTCACAGACACACGCATACAATCACACACACACACACACACACACATTCACAGGCACACGCATACAAACACACACACACACACACACACACATACATTCACAGACACACGCATACAATCACACACACACACACACATTCACAGGCACACGCATACAAACACACACACACACATACAATCACACACACACACACACATTCACAGGCACACGCATACAAACACAAACTCATACACACACACGCATACAAACACAGACACACACATACAATCACACACACACACACACATTCACAGGCACACGCATACAAACACACACACACACACACACACATTCACAGACACACGCATACAAACACAAACTCATACACACACACGCATACAAACACAGACACACACATACAATCACACACACACACACACATTCACAGGCACACGCATACAAACACACACACACACACACACACACACATTCACAGACACACGCATACAAACACAAACTCATACACACACACGCATACAAACACAGACATACACATACAATCACACACACACACATTCACAGGCACACGCATACAAACACAAACTCATACACACACACGCATACAAACACAGACACACACATACAATCACACACACACACACACATTCACAGGCACACGCATACAAACACACACACACACACACATTCACAGACACACGCATACAAACACAGACACACACACACACACACATTCACAGACACACGCATACAAACACAAACTCATACACACACACGCATACAAACACAGACACACACATACAATCACACACACACACACACATTCACAGGCACACGCATACAAACACACACACACACACACATTCACAGACACACGCATACAAACACAGACACACATTCACAGGCACACGCATACAAACACACACACAAACACACACAGACACATTCACAGACACACACACACACAAACACACACACATTCACAGAAAACACACACATTCACAGGCACACAAACACACACACACATTGACGGACACACACAGAAACAGACACACACATTCACAGATACAAACACATACAAACAAAAGCACTTACAGAGTCACACACACACAAACACAGACACACACACATTCAACGACAGACACACATACACACACATAAACACAGACAAACATATGCACAGGCAAACAAACAAACACACGCACGTTCACAGGCACACACATAAATACAAACACACACTCATGCACAGATACACATACAAACACAGATGCATACACATTTACATATACACACACAAACACACATTCACAGATACACATACAAACACAAATGCATACACATTCACAGACACACACATTCACAGATACACACAGAAACAGATACACACATTCACAGACACACACATTCACAGATATACACACAGAAACAGACACACATAGAAACAGACACACACATTCACAGACACACACATTCACAGACTAACAAACACAGACAGACACATTCACAGACACACACACACACACAGACAGACACACACACACACACACAAACACAGACACACACACACACACACACACACACACACACACACACACACACACACACACACACACACAGATCTCTGACCTTTGTCTGCATCCCCCTCCAGCACGTCCTGCCCAGCTGTGGAGGCGCTCCTGCCCTTCCGCCTCCCCTTCACCCTGCTGGCACACACACACACACACACACACACACACACACACACACACACACACACACACACACACACACACACACACACACACACACACACACACACACACACACACACACACACTCACACACACACACACACACACACACACACACACACACACAGAGACAGAACTCTGACCTTTGTCTGCATCCCCCTCCAGCACGTCCTGCCCAGCTGTGGAGGCGCTCCTGTCCTTCCGCCTCCCCCTCATCCTGCTGGCACTGCAACATGGGAGTCACCATTGTAGTCAAGTCAAAGGTCATTTTATCCTGACGTGTGAACGCTGAAAACACTAGGCCGAGGCCCATTTCTTCGACAAGTGTACCCATTTACAACATTGCTGGAATATGTCACATAGCGGCGTAAAACCACATTCACTCAGTCTTAAAGTTCCCTCGCCTCGATGCCTGCGACAAACATGTATATATTAACCATGTTGAATTCACCATCTACATTCCCAAACGTTTCAAACAAATTAATAATTAAATTAACCGGACAATAACCTCATGATTGACTATTACTTTTCTTACAAACGACTTGTTAGACACACACAAGCTGTAACTTTCTATTTATGTTCACTTTGTATTTGTATTTGATGTAATATGTACAGACATATTATTTAAATAATGTCTATATCGATGACGTCACATCCTTCATTTCAATATGTAATATTTGTTGTATGGGGGCGGTGTTAACATAAGCTGTAAAGCTTGTTCACCAATCCCAACTCATTCCAATGAATAAAAATATGTTTAAACCACAAACGTTTCATTGTTGTAAGATGAAGCAACGTAATTTTGTAACGCTTTAGTCGCCAATATTCGAACTATGCTGCGGGAACGAAACGATCATGTTTCTAAGTTTGTCAGAACCACACCAGTCCTCGTGGGTTTCACCGAAGTGGTAAACGTTCGCAAGCATCACCTCGGGCTTTCGTGTCACATTAAGCTGACACGTCGTGATAACTGGAATATTGTTCATAGCGGCGTTAAACCCACCTTACTCACTCTAACAATACTACGGCGACTTACACAATTGTTGGGGGCACGGGTGGCCCAGTCGTCTAAGGCGCCGCGATTCGTTGTGCAGAGTTGCGTCCCTTTGGCACGCCAGAAACCTGTGATTGTGGGTTCGAATCCCGGTTCGCCCAGATTATGTTTCTAGGTTTGTCAGCACCATACCCGTGCTCGTGGGTTTCACCGAAGTGGTAAACGTCTGAGACCTGCATCGCTTCGGGCGTTCCTCCCACATTATGCTGACACGCCGTGATATAACTGGAATACTGTTAAAAGCGGTGTTAAATCCAACTCACTCACTCACTCACTCACTACACAATTGTGCCACATAAACTGACCATTATCAGCACGATGTACAATCCCACATTATCAACAAACCTTTGGTCACTGTAACCAGTTCTACATCAGGGGGGGCGGTCGGGTAGCCTAGTGGTTAAAGCGTTCGCACGCCCCGCCGAAGACCCGAGTTCGATTCCCGACATGGTAAAATGTGTGAAGCCCATTTCTGGTGTCCCCCGCCGTGATATTGCTGGAATACTGCTAAAAGCGGCGTAAAACCATACTCACTCACTCACTCTACATCAGGTTCTTTACGACCTGGTACGTTTTGGGATTTCTCCTGCATGGATTGTCACAGGGTGGAACAAACGAATAAACATTGTTTGGAACTTATTGAACACATACAGGTACCATTCACAACGTTAAGCTCAGTTAAGAATTTGTGACGTGAGCTTGCATTTAGATCTCGTTACTCCGGGCAACGTTATTCCAGAACCTCCTCTCCATAACGATACTGTTGGCATCATCAACACAGATGCACAGCAACTTAACGCAACAGGTATAATTCGTTCAGCCGGACATTTATTAATCCGGACGGTTTCATTGCGATCTGGGCCGTCCGGTTTGAACACGTTTCAGTATACTTATAAGAGTGAGTATGTGGACGCTTTGGGTTAACGCTAACAGTATTCGAGTTATTAACGGCGTGTCAGTTTGAAGGAGAGCCCGTCTTAGACGTTCACCACCTCGACGAAACCTCCAGCTATGGTAGTGACAAACCTAGAAATAAATTCAGGGCAAAACTTGGATTCGAACACAAGATCCTAAGATTCTGGCACTCCTAAAGAACAAAATACTGCGAATTGCGGATCTTTTTTACCTAGATCAAAAGGAACAGGATTAACGAAATCTATCGGATCGCGGGAAAATAAACACCTTATTGAAACGGCTACGTGATATTAGTATAGAGCATCTATTGTAGGATCAACTGAGATTACAGACAAAACACCTGCTGTAGGATCACGTGAGATTACAGACAAAACACCTTCTGTATGATCACTTGAGATTACTGACAAAACACTTCCTGTAGGATCACGTGAGATTACTGACAAAACATTTACTGTAGGATCCCGTGAGATTACTGACAAAACACCTGCTGTAGGATCACGTGAGATTACAGACAAAACACCTGCTGTAGGATCACGTGAGATTACAGACAAAACACCTTCTGTAGGATCCCGTGAGATAACAGACAAAACACCTTCTGTAGGATCACGTGAGATTACAGACAAAACACCTTCTGTAGGATCACGTGAGATTAAAGACAAAACACCTTCTGTAGGATCACGTGAGATTACTGACAAAATATTTACTGTAGGATCCCGTGAGATTATAAACAAAACACCTGCTGTAGGATCATGTGAGATTACAGACAAAACACCTGATCTAGGATCATGTGAGATTAATGACAAAACACCTGCTGTAGGATCACGTGAGATGACAAACAAAACACCTGCTGTCGGATCACGTGAGATTACGGACAAAACATCAACTGTAGGATCACGTGAGATTACTGACAAAACATCTACTGTCGGATAAACTGAGATTACAGACAAAACACCTGCTGTAGGATCACGTGAGATTACAGACAAAACACCTGCTGTCGGATCACGTGAGATTACAGACAAAACACCTTCTGTAGGATCACGTGAGATTACAGACAAAACACCTTCTGTAGGATCACGTGAGATTACAGACAAAACACCTGCTGTAGGATCAACTGGGATTATAATAAGAAGACATACAGTAAAATCACGTGAGAGTACAGACAGAACACTTGCAATCTCGTGAAGAGCACCTGATGTAGTGACGTGAGAGTATGGACAGGATATCTGCTGTAGGATCACGCGAGAGTATTGACAGGATACCTGCTATAGGATCACGTGAGAGTATAGACAGGATACCTGTGGTAGGATCACGTGAGAGTATGGACAGGATACCTGCTGTAGGATCACGCGAGAGTATGGACAGGATACCTGCTGTAGGATCGCGCGAGAGTATGGACAGGACACCTGCTGTAGGATCACGTGAGAGTATAGACAGGACACCTGCTGTAGGATCACGTGGTAGTATGGACAGGATACCTGATGTAGGATCACGCGAGAGTATGGACAGGATACCTGCTGTAGGATCACGTGAGAGCATAGACAGGATACCTGCTGTAGGATCACGTGAGAGTATAGACAGGATACCTGCTGTAGGATCACGTCAAAGTATGGACAGGATACCCGCTGGAGGATCACGTGAGAGTATAGACAGGATACCTGCTGTAGGATCACGTGAGAGTATAGACAGGATACCCGCTGGAGGATCACGTGAGAGTATAGACAGGGTACCTGCTGTAGGATCACGTCAAAGTATGGACAGGATACCTGCTGTAGGATCACGTGGGGTTTAGACAGAATACCTGCTGTAGGTTCACGTGAGAGTATAGACAGGATACCTGCTGTAGGTTCACGTGAGAGTATGGACAGGATACCTGCTGTAGGATCACGTGAGAGTATAATCAACATTCCTGTTGTGACATCACGGAAGAAACACATGTTCAAGACTCGAGTGGTTACGGTGAGACTGCGTGTCCCGCCGGATCCACTGGGAACACAGAGGAAACATTTACCTGTATGGATCATCTCTTCCCAGCTTCTTTCTGGACTTCTTGGGGACCGGCGACGGACTTGCCAGTCCCCCTTCCGACGTGTTGTCAGGCACGTTAAGTCGTCCCTCCATGCCTACAGCGAAGCAACTACGTCGACTGGCGGCTGTGTATGCAAGTCACCACTGAAGTTCTAAAGAGTGTATTGTTGGTTAGTCGGCCTCGTAACGGACAGACCCGTTAAAGGTGAACTGCCGATTTCAGTTGCATGTACGTAACAGTGTGTGTTTATAGACATGTTGGGTGTAGGTCAAGTATCATGTGGGCTTCAGAACGTGAAAATACCTCAGCACCAAACTACATTTGGTTAATACGTAATTAGTTTGTTGTCGTTTATTTTACTTGCAATACCAGTGTGCTATGATTTCGCCAAACGAAATAAGGTCACAGAACTGCCCCGCGTTTATCCGGCTTGCCTCCTACATTGAGAGACACACTGTGAAATAAGTGAAATAATAACTAAAGCAACCTTATATCATCTCACTCTAATGGTCGTATATATGTTTGCGAACAGGCCTATTCACGTCGTATGCACTAACACTCGGGTTGGTTGGTTTATTGTTTAACGCCGCACCCAGCAATATTCCAGCTATAGGACGAGGGTCTGTAAATAATCGAGTCTGGACCAGACAATCCGGTGATTAATATCATGAGCATCGATCCACTCAATTGGGATCGATGACATGCATCAACCAAGTCAGCGAGCCTGACCACCCGATCCCGTTTGTCGCCTTTTACGACAAGCATAGTCACCTTTTACGGCAAGCATGGGTTGCTGGAGACCTATTCTACCCCGGAATCTTCACGGGTACTAACACTCAGGATAGCTACCGTTAGTTGTGTCTGTACTGTAAAACCTTTCTCCAGTCCAATAAGCTGTTGTCTACGGTCATATAATTGCCAACAACCGTACTCACTAGTCACAGTAAACTACGGTTATAACGAACTAAAAGGGGCTACTAATGTTAGTTCGTAATAATCGTAGTTCGTTATAAGCATATATACATCATATATGCAACAAATGGCCGGGACTAAAAAATACGTTCGTTATATCGGTCAGTTCGTTATAAACGTGCTGTAGTTGATGATGAGAGATTAAATTATGTTGTTCCAAAATGTTGTATTAAATTGGATAATCAGATAATTATCATCATCTTTAAAAACTAGATCTTATTGTAACATCATTCGGAATAATTTCGCCTCTGAAATGAATTGACCCGTGAAGATCCGGGTAGAGAATAGGTTTTCAGCAACCCATGCTTGCCGTAAGAGGCGACTGTGCTTGCCGTAAGAGGCGACTATGCTTGCCGTAAAAGAGGCGACTATGCTTGTCCTGAGGGGCGACTAACAGGATCGGGTGGTCAGGCTCGCTAACATGGTTGATGCGTATCATCATATCCCAATTGCGTGGATCGATGCTCATGTCAATCACTGGATTGTCTCGTCCAGACTCGATTATTTACAGACCGCCGTCATATAGCTGGAATATGATGAGTGCGGCGGTAAACAACAAACAAACAAACTAAAATGAATGAAAATGTATGCTTTCCTCCAGTTTTCGGCAGGACACAACAGCGAGTGCGCCTTTAAGAGTCCCATTGACGGCGGGGCCTGTCTAATGTATTGTCGTGAAAGCGGACTGAATTGTCCACTTTGTGAGTGGTTTGTTACACGACGTATCCACGCCCGCACAGGGAGGTGTTCTCAATGTACACTGTACAGATCAGCGTGTTGGGACTTCAATGGCAACAGGTAATGTGTGTTGAGATACAATACACCCTGAATACCATCCACGTAGCGTTGAACGTTTCTACAGACACATGTCCAACTAACTGAAAGGCTCTTCAGAAGGGATACAATAGTGGGATAATTCCTTAAGCTGATAGACACACTGAGAGTACACATTGCGTATGTGTGCGACTGAGTCAGGTTTGGTTGTGTGTTGTTTAACGCCGCACTCAGCAATATTCAAGCTATATGACGGCGGTCTGTAGCCCCGTGGAGATCCGGGATAGAATAGGTCTTCAACAACCCATGTTTGCCATAAAAGGCGACTATGCTTGTCGTAAAAGGCGACTAACGGGATCGGGTGGTCAGGCTCGCTGACTTGGTTGATGCATGTCATCGATCCCAATTGCGTGGATCGATGCTCATGATATCAATCACTGGATTGTCTGGTCCAGACTCGATTATTTACAGACCGCCGTCATATAGCTGGAATATTGCTGAGTGCGGCGTAAAACAACAAACAAACAAACCTACCAACGGCGGTCTGTAGATAATCGAGTCTGGACCAGACAATCCAGTGATTAATATCATGAGCGTCAATCCACGCCATTGGGATACGATGACATGTATCATTCAAGTTACCGAGCCTGACCACCCGATCCCGTTAGGCCTTATGACAAGCATAGTCGCATTTTACGGCAAGCATGGGTTGCTGAAGACCTGTTCTACCCCGGATCTTCACGGGTCCTGACAGTTAGGGGTACGTCGTGGAAGACACGACCAGTCATGATTCGCATACTAACGGGATCGGGTGGTCAGGCTGGCTGACTTGGTTGGTCGACATTTATAAAAAAAGGTACTCATCTTCAACATAAATATATTAACAAATCTTTGCAAACACATTCCACTCCAGGTTCCATTTTGTGTCTACAAGATTCGATCCGAGGATGGTGGGAACGACACCGTAATCTAGCCAGAGCATGTCTAAATTTCTAATGTGGTAACGTATTATTATATATGTTCACGCCAAACGTTTACTTATTCAAAGAATAGTTTCTGTAAGAGTATCATGCCAGTCTCGTTCAAATGAAGATTTGTATCTACATAGAAATTCGGGGGGGGGGGGGGGGGGGGGGGGGGGGTCGGGTAGCCCAGTGGTTAAAGCGTTCGCTAGTCACGCCGAAGATCCGGGTTCGATTCCCGACATGGGTACAATGTGTGAAGCCCATTTCTGGTGTCCCCCGCCGTGATATTGCTGGAATATTGCTAAAAGCGGCGTAAAACCAAACTCACATAGAAATTCATTTATAAACATGGGGATATTCCTGATACATTGGTGCTCCCACACAAGGCCAGAACCTGTTAATTGAATAGTACTTCTATTTTTTTTTTAAAACCAGTTAATTTTACCATTTTGCAGCGCCACACACGAAAGATGTATACATGGATTATTGTGCGGAAGTTGTGTCATGATCGTGTATGGTTGTTGTTTGTTTGTTGTTTAACGCCGCACTCAGCACTAGTCCAGCTCTCTGACGGCGGTCTGAATATAATCGAGTCTTGACCAGTGATTGACATCATGAGCATCGATCTACGCAACTGGGATAAGATGAAATGCATCAACCAAGTCAGCGACCCTGACCGCCCAATCCCGTTAGTCGCCCCTTACTACAGGCATAGTCGCCTTTTGGGATAAGCATGGGCTGAATAGCAATTTTGACATGCATCTTCACGGATCTTGTATGGAAACTATGGAACAATGATGTGCTCTGCAAGACTGGCGATCGTGATTCGCTGTGAACACACTGATCAACCAGCAAGCACTCACGATCATGTTCGTGCTACAAGAGAAGTACATTTCGAAAACAGGTAGGCATTACAGCTGTGACTTGTAATGAGCGAGTGAGTATGGTTTTACGCCGCTTTTAGCAATATTCCAGCAGTATCACGGCGGGGGACACCAGAAATAGGCTTCACACATTGTACCCATGTCGGGAATCGAACCCGGGTCTTCGGCGTGACGAGCGAACGCTTTAACAACTAGGCTACAGCACCGCCCGATTTGTAATGTATCAATCACTTAGTTGCCGCGGTCTGCAGAAGAAACGAGCTTCATTGGAGTTGAGTTTCCATGTTGAGCTGCTCAATCTGTTTTGTGTGCAGGATCGGAGACGTCTGTGGAGCATACATTTGCAGGAGTTCGCGCAGATTCTTCTGTCGCTGTCCCGGTCACACGTTGGTAAGCGAGGACAGAATCTTGAAATCCACAGTGGCAATCGATACAGTGAGTGAGTGTGGTTTTACGCCGCTTTTAGCAAATATTCCAGCAATATCACGGCAGGGGTCACCAGAAATGGGCTTCACTTCACACATTGTACCCATGTCAGGAATCGAACCCGGGTCTTCGGCGTGACGAGCGAACCCTTTCACCACTAGGCTACTCGACCGCCCCTTCGATACAGTGATCTCAACACATGCTGTTTGTTTGTTTGTTTGTTGTTTAACACTGCACTCGACAATATTCCAGCTATATGACGGCGGTCTGAACATAATCGAGTCTGGACCAGACAATCCAGTGATAGACATCATGAGCATCGATCCACGCAATTGGGATACGATGACATGCATCAACCAAGTCAGCGAGAGTGGCCACCCGATTCCTGTTAGTCGCCTTTTACGACAAGCATAGTCGCCTTTTACGACAAGCATGGGTTGCTGAAGACCTATTCTACCCCGGAATCTTCACGGGTCTCAACACATGTGTCATGTGAAAGTATGTATTTGTTCTTATGAAACTCTTGCTGCTCTGTTTTGGATGAGAGGGGTGGTGGTGGTGAGGGCGTGGTGGTGGTTGGGTGTCATTCCTCTGTTTACACCATACCACACAGTCAGGCTCTATGCGATAAATCTATTTATTACTTGCCCGTGAAGAGATCATCCGTTTAATAAACATACAGCTTTATTACACATTGTGTAATACCAAAACGCGTGCTTATGTACTCTCGGAACACGTTTCACGAACAAATATTGAAAGCTCTCAACATCCCTTGGCGTATTCAACGACATTGCGTGTGGAGATGATAGATCACTGGGAGGAGCTTATGCACACTCGATGACCCCAGCAACCTTGTTGCTAGGCTGACGTCACATGGCATTGTTTCGCCAATGGACCTTGCAACAAAATTCCACAATTTACGTCATCGGTCATTGTGACGTGATTGTAAACTTTGAGGTGCAAGGCCCGTTCCACAAGGCGATCGTATTGTAGCGCAACGACAGTCGTTAGTCTAAGTTAAAGTATGTGAGTTGCGATTAGCCCTACGATAATTTTGTGGAACGGACGCCTGAATTCTAAAGGTGGACCGTTGTATGGTATTAAATTCATACGTT